ACAGTATCAACCAAGAGAATTTCCCTCTTAATAGTGCGGCTATCGATCCTAATTCACTCACACCCTCTATGGTGTCTTGACTGCAAACCAAAAATGGCTCCTATCTCTGTACCTTTGTCTTGAGCCCATTTTTGTTTTTCTCTTTTTTCTTTTTCAAATGTGAAGCACTTGATCCAACTTTTTGCGGCCATCACCTTCACCATGAACATCATCTAGCACCACCACTTGGATTAGACTACCTCATCTAATTCACACACTTAGATCAAATGTTAGTCCTAGGTTTCATCAATTATCTAAAACCAAACTAGGACTTTCATCATGCCGGGCCAAAAGTGCGGGCTTCGTGCCATGCTGTCGTGCCGCGCGCTGCATGGACATTTATAGGTGGAGATGCCGGCCGGCTGTCACGACACTGTAGAATAGAAGCGTCGAGTGTTAAAGAGGATCGGATACGACCTGTTGGGCCGTTGGATCAGTGTCGTGGCTCGCGAACGGGAGACACCCTCAGCACAGCATTTCCGTAATTACTGTATATGTATATGCATCGTCAATTATTGTACTCCATTAATTATTTTATTATTACTATACTGCTGGTACGGTAGTACTCCGTATGTAGCAAGAATACCTTTAATTTGTTGGGCACACGAATTGACTTTGATGATTTATGAATCCTCAGTTGGCCACGTTGTCGATTGATCGATCGGTCGGTCGCAACGGAGAGGAGATTATTGGCCACATGTAGAAAGGGATATATAGATAAGAAGAGGAGTTGCTTGTCGATCGGTCACTGCTGCGGCTTTGTAATCAGGAAAAGAGCTCTGCATTGTGTGTAGGTTTGTTGCTTGGCATCAAGAACTTTTGCTGCAAAAGGCGGAAAAAGGTGAAAAGCGAAATTGTTAATTGCAATAATAGATTATTACTCAATACTACTGTTTTTTCTAATATAAAATTTCAATAGGAGTGTTTTACCCCTCTTGTTTTGTATAAAAAAATACTAACAACATAGTAAAAACAATGAATCTAGAAAAGCTAACATTTTATAGTTTAGAACGTAGGAGTATTATATGTCTAGTCTATTTTTAAATTGTAAGTCGTTCTAACTTTTCTAGATATATAGTTGCTACTGTATATTTACTCCACTCCAAATTATAAAATGCTCCGAGTTTTCTAGATACCAGTTGTGTTCTAACTTTTCTAGATACATAGTTATTACTATATATCTAGTTCACTCTAAATTATAAGATGCTCTAAGTTTTATAGATACAAGTTGTTTATCCAGATATATAGTAACAACTATGTATCTAGATAGAAAAAGTCAAAACGGTGTTACAATTTGGAATTGATTAAGCACATTCTAAATTATAAGGACTTAAACTATGTATTCAAACATATATACACATCTATAAAAGTCAGAATGACTTATAATTTTGTATCGTAGGAGTTTCAAATAAATATATATAAACACTATAAATAACTCGCACAACAGTACTATACAATCAATTTTAGAAGGCCAATCAAAATCTTTTCGACACAAACTCTTCTATTTTACTATAATAGGGCCCCATTTGGTGTCACTTCAAGGTGCTCCGGCTCCGGCTCCCACAATACCGTTGCATACTGTGTTTAACAATGGTGTATTACTGTAGCAGATGAAAAAAAAGAGAGCTCCAGCTCCTGCCCAAATGAACTAGGAAACAGGCGGCACCACCAGAGCTAGGAATAATGATTGGCTCCTCCGGGCTTCGCTAGTGTGACGGATTTGTTGCGCCAATGTTATTTTGTCGCTCCAAAAGAGTTAGGTTAAAAAAAGAACTAGAGTAGTTTTTTTTTTAAAAAATATTAATTTAAAATGTACTATAATTAAAAAAAATCTCCTCCAATCAAATACGAACTTGATAGCGTTGATTTTATGGTATTCAAGATACAAACCCCTATTTTTGTGTTCGGATATGGCTGGAACATCTATAGAATAAATAAAATTATGAAAGTACTTTATAAGATATTTGTTATTTTTGTTTTGGCAACTCATTGTAAATGATTTTCAACAATACCAATCTATCTTTAGATAGATCACAAACAGGCTTTTGTTTATAGGTGGCACGGTCTAAACAAATTTCAGACGGTTGCCTTTTTTTTTTTGACAGTTTGTGATTCACTAGAAACAAACATGATTCATTGTCTGCAGCAGCCATATCATTGACCCTCTTCAGCAGATAGATATAAAACAGTCGGTTATGCACTTCTTTTACCCGTTTGTGTTGACTACTTTTTGTGGTAATGTATGTATCTCCATTAGACAATCAATGTACATTTATCGTCAATTCCATTATTACTGCACAAAAGAAGACCTTTGGGCTTGGATAGTTGGATTAATTTGGTGGGTGTCTTATCTTCCAGTTGGCTAAGGATAGATTGACGCATATGTAGAAAGGGAATGGGAGTTCGTTGCTTGTGGATCTGTGCTTTGCGATCAAGGAAAGTGCACTGCAACGTGTTGGTTTGTCGCTTGAGATCGAATACTTTGCTCACAAAGGTGAAAAAGGAAGGATTGCAATAATAACCTACCCCATTTATATCAACAAAGAAGACAAAAAATACCCTATTTACTAATTACTAATTACTACTCCATCAATTCTAAATTATAAGTCATTTTGATAATTTTTGGTTCATTCATTTTGCTACCCATTTATATTAACAAAGAAGACAAAAAATACCCTATTTACTAATTACTACTCTCTTCATTCCAAATTACAAGTCACTTTGATTTTTTTTGTTCATTTATTTTGCTATGTATCTAAACATATTATTATATCTAGATGCACAGCAAAATAGACATACAAAAAAAGTCAAAACAACTTATAATTTGAAGCGGAGGGAGTAACTCCTAGTATAAGCATGTATAAATTTTGTTTCCGAGAAAAGAACAATCTACCCTTTTTATCTTATTACTCTTGCAAGTAGTATAGTAGATTTATACATCAAGCATTCCTTTTTCTAAGAAAAAACTATAGTTATAATTTTTTCCCAAGATCTTTAGACCTGTTTTATTTTTGTTGGGACAAAAGGAGATAAATAAAAGGTTAAGCACTAGGTTAGTGCCTTTTTAATTTGCTTGATTGCTCCAGTAACATTGCAAACAGCTAGTTGCATTTGCAAAACCTCAACTAGCCCACCCAAGAAGAACAAGAAGTTGCAAGGCATGGAAATGCAATCATGGATGAACAGAAAACCTTGCCTTTGTGTCGTCCTACTCCTTTCCATCGAGCATTACTTTATAGAACCACAAAAGTCCACTACCCGATAAACACGGCACCTGTGCTGCAAAGAAGAGCACTTTGGACTGACGACACTTTTGACCTTTCTTCTTTTCTTCCTTTCATACTTCAGGAGTTTGAATTAAAGCGTGTTTGTTCACTGATGATAGAAATACTAAATGTGCACAGTGCAGGAGCTCTATTGGAAACAAACTTGAGTGCCACAAAAAGGTTCATATGTCTCCTAGTGCAGGGTACGATTATTACTCTAAACTGAAATGAATGACAATTGACAGGTCTCTTGGGTCAGTTTTGAAACCTGAATTGGCAGCTAAACCAACGTCTGCAACCTCTTCTGCCGTTTCCTCGTGGATAATGCATGGCTCTCGAAAATGTGACGTGAACAACAGGTTTCTTACTCCTTTTGCAGGCCCCGTTCGGCTTGCTGAAACTTGGCTGAATTGGTCGAAAAATACTGTTCTGGCTGAATTGTTGTGAGAGAAAAATATTGTTCCAGCTAAAAAAACAAGCTGAATAGTACTGATTATAAGGTAAGCCAAACGGGGTTATCTCTTAGCTTGCAATGTCTGAATCACTGTCATTTTATTAAAAAAAAGTTCAAAACATTCTGAATCGGCTGCGCCACGTCCAGGGCTTCTGGGAGCCAACCTGGGGGTCTCGGGCCTGTTCGGCAGGACTAAAAAATACTGTTCTGGCTGATTATTGTGAGAGAAAAATACTGTTCTGATAGAACATGAACAGTGATTCTGTGAGGTGGCTAGCCAGCCGGCAACCAACCAGCCAGCCAGCCGAACACAGCCCTCTCCTTTCCAAATCTAGCACTTTTTTTTAACCGAACTGGATGATGGTGTCAAGTGCACAAGGCATAAGCTTCACCGGCGCCAAATCTTCTGCGCAAATCTTTGCTTTATGCTGTCTTCATGATGCCAAGCAAGTTACCTTTATCTTTTGTTGCATGCCTGCAAGGATGAATCAGCTCTAAGAAACATGCATGATGAACAATCTCTGTTCCAGTGTCGATCTAGTCTCCTCTCCTAGTATTTTTTTCGAAAAGACGACAAAAGTTTTGCTACCGGTTTTGTTAGACGAGAAAAATAAAAAACATAAGAACAAAAGTACCATCCAGCCCTCCTCTAATATTACCCAATATAATAGAAGAAATGTGTTAGTGTTTTTTTATTACGACACGAGATGTATTGATGGTAAATAAATGAATTTGATGCATGAGAATACGAATAGTACACCAGAGTAGGTTTTTTTTTTCAGCCTGATCAAAGGGTCTTTATTCGAAATAATCTTTGTTCATAGGGGTTAATCACGAAAGTGACACTAAACTCTTCCGTCTTCAGTTCAGAGCTCCCAAGTTCAGATTATTCCTTTCTTCTCAGCGACACCGCTTGATTACTTGCGATCCCAAGATGGCATCACCGCCGATTCCGAGCTACTAATCCTCTCCTTGCTCCCTTCTCCCCGCCGCCGAGCCTACTCTCTCCGTTTCGGAGCGGCCGTCCCTCGCGGACCGGTTTGGTCCGAGTCTGCGCCCCTGCTGTGCCGGGATCCGCGAGAGAACCGCCTGCCCTCCGCGTTCTTGCGGGCGGGGGGACTAGCTGGCTTTGGAATTTTGTTCCGGGGGGCTCATGAGCGCAATGGGGCTGCTTGGGTGAAGTAGAGCTTGCTTCTGTGGAGTCTCTGAGCGTGGGCGGAGGCGGAGCTGTGGAAGGGAGGATGCAGGGGAAGGCACAGCTCTCGGATTCCAACCGGCGGATCATGGAGCTTGACGCGCCGCCACGGCGGGTGTACCAGGCGTGGAAAGGCAGCAATGTGAGGGTTTCTCTCTCTCGGTCTGGTTTCTGATTCTGCAAATTTTCTTAAGATGGGTCATGGGCTCATGGCTACTTGTCCTTGTTGTTTTTTAGTAGCATCAGGGAATTATGTGGAAAAAAATCGTGCTTTCTGTTGTCTTGAGTCAGTAGGTGGAGACATAGGCTGTTGAAATCTTGGTGTTAGTTTGGAATTAATTGTAATGGCAGCATAAGCATCCAAAAGCTATAGAAGACATTCTAGTCTAGTGCTGTTTAGTGTTTGCTGATGCGTGTTATATTGGCCATTTGGCATAGAAGTAGTGGTTCTTTTTTATTTAGAGATTTGTATGATAATGGGCTGATATACTCACTGAAGCAGCTAGTTTTAGTAACATATCAAAGACGGTGACTGTATGGCATTGATTTGCTATATGACACAAATGCAGGAGTAAGAGAAAACTTTAGAAGTTGAAGGGGATTTTGGAATAATGTAATGCTATATTTCAGTTGAGGCATTGCAATATAAAATACTGTTACTGTCTGTTATTAAGTTTCACGTTCCATATGTTCTCCTTTGGGGTCAACCATACTCTTATATTCATGGATTTATGCCTACATTGCAAATTGTTTCTTTGCAAAAAGACAATCTGGAGCTCATCGGTGTGTACTTTGTTTATTATGTAACCATTATGTACATCTTTACCATGGTTGAAATACGCTGGCTACTAACATACGCCCTGTTCGCTTGGCTTATAAGCCGTACTTTTTCAGCCAACAAACAGTATTTTTCTCTTACAACAAATCAGCCAACAGTACTTTCAGCCATGGCTTATCAGCCAAGCAAACAGGGCATAATATTTAAAAAGATACCCAACCTTTAAAAACTTATATTTTCACTTTTTCAAAGCGCTACCTTCTTCTTAACGTATCTTGCAATAAAGCTCATGTTTTTCGTCCATTTTCATTCTCTGTTCTTGCAGTTATTTTTCCTTGGAGGGAGACTTATCTTTGGCCCAGATGTGAGGTCACTCGTGCTCACAGTATGTTTGATCATAGTCCCAGTGATCTTCTTTGCTGCTGCCGTTTGTCCACAGCTTGGTCATGAGTTCCACAGCCAAATTGGAGGTTGGGCGGCATCTGTGGCTATCATCTTTACAGCATATGTAAGTTTATGAGCCATGTACACTCAGTCTGCTACAAACTGATCTATATCTTTTTCTCCTCTATTTGTCAGATTTCCAAATGCGAAGTTATGCATTTGAAATTTTAAGTCATCTTTTGGGAACAAGAAGCTTCTGCATTTGCTTTTACCATGTTAAGTTATACCATAGTTGCGTTGGGGAGAATGGTCTAGGCTCATAGCTATTATGCTGCTTATGCATATAGATACTGAAATAGAATGACTATGACTATAGTGTCTGCAACTTGATAACTAGTTGACAAGAGGACTGATCTATCGTTGTTCTTGTTCTTCAGATTCTTGTTGTTCTACTTCTCACATCTGGCCGTGATCCTGGAATTGTTCCTCGAAACTCTCACCCCCCAGAACCTGAAGACATTGATGGATCCTCCAGCTTACCAGATTGGCCGGGTGGTCAACAAGGTCCGACAGGTTTACCACTTACCAGGGATGTTCTTGTCAATGGTGTTTCAGTCAAGGTCAAATATTGCCATACATGCATGCTTTATCGTCCGCCAAGGTGCTCCCATTGCTCAATCTGCAACAACTGTGTAGAACGTTTTGATCACCACTGTCCTTGGGTAGGCCAGTGCATTGGCAAGGTAAAGAAATGAAGTGACAAGTAATCATTCTTATGGTCATATAATGAGGTACCTTTTATATAATAAATATAATATTTTTAGATTTCTGAGGCAGCAGTCACTTTCCAGTCATGCTAAAATCTGAATGATGTAACGGGAAGAAGACAGAGGAGGGGATGGGGATATATGCAGTTATATGTTTTCTCCTAATGGTGCTCGCAATATGGATCTGTGATTAATTAATTCTAACTGTGGATGTTACTCATCATGCCTCGTATTCTCTTTTCTTGCAGAGGAACTACCAATTCTTCTTCGTGTTTGTGTCTTCAACTACTCTACTATGCATATACGTGTTTGCATTCTGCTGGGTCAATCTTAGGAGAATTATGGACACGCATCAATGCAAAATTGGTAGAGCTCTTTTGAAGTCTCCTATCTCCGGTCTTCTCATCCTATATACATTTATTGCTGTGTGGTTTGTAGGAGGATTGACCTCATTCCACCTCTATTTGATTTCTACAAATCAGGTAAGACTATTCTCGAGTAACTGGAGTAACAATTAATTTGCTTTGCAGTTTATTAGCAAGCTAGCGGATTGAAGTCTCATGAAAAAAAAAACGTTTTTCAGACTACTTATGAGAACTTCAGATACCACTATGACCGGAGAACAAATCCTTACAACCTTGGAGTGGGCCGGAATTTCGTCGACGTCTTGTTTTCAAGGGTACCCAGCTCAAAACACAATTTCAGAGCAAAAGTTAAGGATGATTCTTCAGCCTTCACGTCATCCCTCAGTATGGGACGGGTTCTAAGTCCGCCCAAGATGAGCGTGGACCTTGAGATGGGCATGAAAAGGCAAGCGGTGGCTGCAGAGGACTTGGAAGACTTGCACAGCCAGATCGGCAGTGCTATGGGGCTGGAGAGATGTGGCACTGAACCGCCGCATTTTGTTGGTCGAAAGGGCTGCTCTGAGATGTCATCTGACATAGAGGCATTCGCAGAAGAGTTTGGCATGGAACGTGGTTTCAATGAGAGGAAAAAGATTGAGAGACGTACAAATGATGATTCATAGGAAGTTTCCGCAGTAAAAGCTCGCAAAGAAGAAAGGGAAGTAGGACAAAATGGTAGAGTGAATCCGACAGGTATTGGTTAGTTTAATTTGGCTGTAATCTGTAGTCGAGAGTTAAGTTATATAGGTAATAGATGTTCATTAAAAGTATAGAAACGATGAATCCATATTTGGTTTGGACGTTCTTAGTTCATGTGATGTGTTGTACTTGTGGTGTGGCAGCTTCTGATTTTGTTGAAGCTGTAATTTGTAACATTAACTTGGCTAGTGCATTCATTTCATCGATCAAATTTCATGCACTTTTGTTTGCTAGCCTTTTAGATGGAAAAAAAGGTGGGTGTTTTTCCATGATGTTTTGATAAATTCATTGCACATATGTTGGGAAATGCTATAGATTCCGATGCTGCTTGAGAAGAGAAATTCTTTGTGCATCATTTTTACAGATTCCAATTGTAGGTTTTAAACTTTGTAATGGCATAACATTACTTTTGCAATTCCTGTTTCATTTTTGTGCAAACTGTAGAGGTCTATCATGTTCTGAAATCCTTGGTGTGAACCGCGCACTCCCAGTCGGGTTCCGCCCACCGCCGCCGCACGCGACGCTCTGCGCCCAGGAGTGCACCGCACCTGCCCAGGGGTCACGCCCGCCGGCCGCCGCTCAACCTTCACCGTCCCCGCCGCGCTGAAGTCCTTGTGCGCGTGTTCAAGAACTGATTCCAAACCGACGAGCGCAGCGTGATGACATTGGTGAGCGTCGGTGCCAACTGCGGAAGTCTGGAGGATGCACGGAAGGTGTTTGACAGAATGGGTGTGATGGGTGCTCAGCTGTGGAACGCGACGATCGCAGTGTACATGGCAGTTGGCGAGGCGGGTGAGATTGCAGAGGTGGCCGGGGTGTTGTGAGTGCACCGCCATGATCTCTGGGTAGTGGGTACATATATGCAAGGATTGGCAATTTGAATGGTGACAGCTGTGTTTCATGGGATGAGAGAGCTGGTTGCTGCAACACGGAACATGATGACTGGCGTGTATTTACTATTTAGGCGCTGGTATGCTGGTATGGCTGCAAAAGCAGTGGATCTCTTGAGGGCTAAGCTGGAGAGTAGAGCAAGACCTAAGGCGGAGCCAAACCACATGATAGTCTCCACTTGGCTCGCTGATGCTTGTGTGCAATCTGGGTGGAATACCTATTCAAGCTAGATGGATACAAGATGTGGATCGTCACCATTTGAAGTTTTTGAATAACTATACCACTATTATGCACCGAAAATGTGGGGTAATGGAAAGTGCCCAAGCCTTGTTCAGCTGGTGGGAAAAAAAACCCTGATCTATTAGAGTTCTATGATTTCTTCATTTGGCATGCATGGCTGTGGAAAGGATGCTATTGCTGTTTTCAACGAGTTGCAGGACAAGGACTCTGGCCAGATCACATATGGTTTGTGCCACTCCTTTGCTGCTTCTGCTTGCAGTCATGCGGGTTTGTTGGATGAAGGGTGTCAATGCTTTCAGATGATGAAGGATGGGTGCCATATTATTCCGACCGTCGAACACTGCCTCTGCATGGTGGACTTGCTTGGCCATGCCGGATGCATACATGAGTCTTACCAGACCACCAAGCACAGGATGCCAATAGAAATGCAAATGCATGCTGGCATTTGGGGTGCTTTGTTACGTGCATGTTGGACTTACTCTGAATGTGGAGATTGGAGAGGTCCCGGCAAAGCACCTTCTCAAGTTGGAGCCAGATAATGTAAGAATATGTCCTGCTATCAAATATAAGTGCAAATGCAAGGAAATGGGGTGGAGTCAACAAGGTATGAGCCATCATGAGGACACACAGGGATGAGGAAGCAACCTGCCCACCTGGGTGGAGCAAATTGATGTTGAAGGACACATTGAAGAGTTTATGACCAATGGGCCTCATGACAGCGTGTTGGAGTTTGTCTTGGAGCTATTAAGTTTGGAGCTCAAGTACTATGGTTACCACCCCAATTATAGAGGTCGGGTGAATTATTAAACATGCATTGTATCATCAAGCATCAACATTATTAGACATTTCTATTTTCTGCACAACAAAAATCTTGAAAATCAAGGCTGAAGAGCCAAGCTTCCTTATATCATGAATGAGGCATCTCCATATTGGACTACCTAGACCTGCTGCTGTGCTGCATGGCATAGAAGATAGAACTAAGATACCACCCAAATTCTACATGGAAACAAGTATATGGGTGTCAAATTTAACTTTAACCCATTTCTCAGCTCATGGTATCATATCAGAAAACTACTGTAGCCTACATGAGTGATCTGAAATCTTCTCAGTCACCAGGATTAATGCAACCTTATTTCTTTTACCCAGATAGGCTCTGCACATTTGATGATCCATAAACATAAATAAGTGTGGGAGGTATTTGAAATTTGAAAACAGAATTGCAGGGAAAAATCAGCACATATTCTCATGGCATGATATCTTATATTCTTATTAGAACTATTGGCTGTTATTGCACACGTGAAGTATGCAAGTGTGCGGAAGAATGTCAAACAAGGGGTTGGTTCATGAACTTTTCTGCGTGCCATGAGGCTTTGCTTCATCTTGTATTCTGTTGGCTCTGGCTCTTTGCCAGGGTTAGGTCAACTGTGTAGTCTATGTGATAGCAACCAGCCTGAAGCTTTGGCAGAATCTTCAAAAGCATTATCAAGATGGAATTCTTTTGGATGCCTCATGCTGCTTCTACCTGAAAGTTATCTTATCCAAATCTTCTGCTGTTACTTTCTAGATACTATCTAACTGATTTCTAGGCCTTTTTTACTCCGTCTTTAACCATTCATACTACCTTTTTTGTATCACCACATATATTAAAAAAACTGAACTAGTTATTTGTGGATGCGAATTTTATTCATTTGTGAAAAGAATTATTAGATAAATTATTATCTTGCAGTTTCCATAGATTTTGATATATATGTTAATAACACATAAATGTTTCATGTTTTACAGGAAATTATGAAGAAATGCTGGGGAATTCAGAATCACATTTCAGATCATTGGAACTCTGTATATATGTTCAATAATTATGCTCGACAAGTCATGCTGGTGTTCCTTAGCGTTGTCCAAAGTCCAACCTCCTAAAGTAACACGACTCCAGGCAGCGGCACAACTAGGAAAAAGATGTGGAAGAAGAATCTGAACACCTCTGCAATTTCACATGACTCACCTGATTTGGCGGGCTCTTTTAGCATCCTTTATTGCCTATATAAACCGACGGATTGCCATGGTTTCCTTTCAGACAAGAAGAAGTGATCTTCAAGGAGTTTTCTCCTTTTCTCCTCAAAGGCCTCCAAGCGGAGGACTTTGAGGCAGAAGAAGAGCATACTTCTTTGTAATATCATCAACCATTTTGTAGTTGTAGGCTTGTAGCCATTGATCGCCGAGTTGCAAACCAGGCAACATAACCGGAGCTTCATGTGTACAGTGTACGTCCTCCGTTAATAACGCAGCTCAAGAGATGACTATTTTGAAATGGGTATAAACATTTTTTTTGTCAAGATCTTAACAAGTTTCTGCAATTTCTCTTCACCCCTTATATTAAATGAAAAACGCCATAAACTTCCCTAGCGAAAAAGAAAGATAACCTGATTTGTGCAATTGTGTTCACAAAATTTATCCTTTGGCGTGCTCATACTTCCAAAGTTTTGGCTGGCCTTTGGCCCAGCTAGCTCGTAGCCCATATGTGCTAGTAGCCTGGCAGCTCCGACGCTGCTTGCGGCGGCCCATGACAAGCCCGACAACCGGAGACCAGGCCGGCGAGCTCGGAGGAAGGGAGGACCAGAGGTGGTGGGTCCCTCCCTCCCTCCCTCTCTCAACTGCTCGCTGCTAGCGTTCTGTTCGATTCACCATCCCCCTCTGGCCCTCGCTAACCCTAACATCCCAGTCCGCGGGCGGGGGCAGCCAGCGGCGCAGCGCCGCGCCGGACTTGTTGCTTTTTTTCTCCGTGAGCCCGTGCAGCGCCTGCCGTCCGCCCGCGGTCCAGGAGGCGCCGAGCCGCCGCGCCGGCGGCCACTGTGAGCAGCTGCGCCTGCGCTGCTACAGGGACTGCAGGCAAGGGGGAGCCGAGATAGCAGAAAAAGGTAGTGTATCCTTTTGTCTCTTTTGGTCTTGCCACTTGTGGAAATTGGCAACCGAGAATGTTTGCGTAATGAGCTGAGTTTATACATAGCCTAGTCGACTTTATTTAACCTGCGAATTATAATCTTGGCGACCTTTTTTGTTCGTTTATTGAATTTGCGGCATTATGAAAACTTGAAGGTCGAACCTACCGATGAGATCCTAGCTACGGTGCTGGCTCCTCAGTATGGCCGAAGTAGTGTTTCTTGTTGGCCTGATCTTTTGGACATCAAACGGAGAAATGTAGCAAGAATCTATCAACGATGGATTTCTTATCACATACATGCATGCCTGTGCCTAATGCTCTTGCACACAATAGTTCTTTTCTGTTTTGAGTTTAGCTTTGAGGGTGGCACGGGGTTCACTCTTGTTGCAGAAAGAGTAGTCAGCATAGACGTATAGTCATCTTGTAGTACACAGTTCGCTAGGTTCACTGTCCAGATGGAGAGGATTGAAGCCACACTGTCCGCTTGTTGTGCCCCTGGATCTTTGATGCCGGTTTCAGGTCTTCTCCTCAAGCTACCCCTTGTCCACTCTGTCCTCCGATCTCTCTCCTTGGGGGCCTTTCCCCTCTCTATCCCTCTCCTTCCTCTCCCTGCTCCGCCACTCTGGATATATGACCCTTGATAACTACTCCCTCAACATTGCTTTCTCTGCCACTGCCCGCCTCCCATCTGTTTCTGTTGGTGCCCAGCTTCATTCCCTTTCTGTCAAACTTGGCTTGGTTTCAGATACATTCGTCCTTAATTCCCTTATCAACATGTACTCATCTTGTAGCTATCCAACTACTGCAAGACAAGTTCTCGCCTGCTCGCCTGCTCGCCTGCTCCCCAAGGAGCTTGTGACACAGTTTCTTGGAACACAATAATTTCTGGATACCTACGAGGTGGGATGCCTAATAAAGCTTTGCAGGCCTTTGGCCAGATGGTCAAGGAGCAAGTTAGTCTGGATGATGTCACATTAGTGAATGCACGTTGCTTCTGCTAAGGCAGGCAAAGTGAAGGTCGGGAGGCTGTGTCACAGTTTAGCTGTGGTGAACGGAGCTGGAATTAATTGTTATATGGGATCCTCTCTGATTAGTATGTATGCCAAGTGTGGATTGGTTGAGGATGCCCGCAAGGTATTTCACAGAATGCATGAGAGAAACGTGGTTTGCTGGACATCAATGATTTCTGGGTACACACGGTTGGGTAAGTTTAAAGAGGCTGTCAACCTTTTTAGGGACATGCAAATTACTGGAATGAAGGCTGATGATGGGACAATTGCTACTGTTGTGTCTTCATGTGCCCAAATGGGAGCACTTGACTTGGGACGATATGTTCATGCTTACTGTGATGTTCATGGTTTAGGGAAGGAGCTTTCTGTGAATAATTCACTGATTGATATGTACTCAAAGTGTGGGGATATAAAAAAGGCTCATGAGATATTCTGTGGATTGACCAAGCGAGATGTGTTTTCTTGGACGTCGATGATAATGGGCTTTACTGTTAATGGCCTATGTAGTGAAGCACTCGATTTATTTGTTCAGATGGAAGGAGAGGGTAAGGTTATGCCAAATGAGGTCACTTTTTTGGGTGTCCTTACTTCTTGTAGCCATGGAGGGTTTGTGGAACAAGGGTTCCATCACTTTCAGCGTATGTCAATGGTCTACAATCTTGCACCAAGGATTGAACACTATGGATGCATGGTTGATCTCTTGGGCCGTGCTAAGCTATTGACAGAGGCAGAACAATTTATTAACGAGATGCCTATTGCCCCAGATGTGGTAGTATGGCGGTCTTTGTTGTTTGCCTGCAGAGCTTGTGGAGAGGTGGGACTTGCAGAATTTGTAGCAGAAAGGATCCTAGAATTGGAACCAAAAAAGTGTGCAGGACACGTTTTACTTTCTAATGTCTATGCTACCACATCAAGGTGGGTTGATGTGAATAAGTTGCGGACATCTATGGACAGTAGTAGGATGAGTAAGCAACCCGGTTGCTCTTTCATTGAAGTGGACGGATGTGTGCACAAGTTCTTTGCAGGAGATGAATCACACCTTGAGACAGAAGCTATATATAACATTCTTTTGGGGATCAATGAGCTATTAGTAGCAGAGTCCTTACTCGTATGAAAGTTGGGATATTTTTTTGTCAATTAAATAGACAGATTCAAAATGTACTATGCTGTCATTTTATGTGCAGTAGAAAGAATGTTTACATCTTTTGTATTTCTCCAGAAGGTGGGAAATTTCATTTTTCAAGTTGTTTTGAGTTTAACTTAGCAAATAGCATGCTTGATGGCTGGCAATTGAGTCCCTGACAGTGTCATAGAAAGGGATGTGTTCCAGCATTAGGATTAATTCCCCAAGCATATTGGAAAAGTAAAAAAAAATGTTAGCCCAGGTCTACAAAGACTAGCTTGAAAATGAATGTGTAGTGTGGACTATGACCAAACTCCACAACTCCTGAAAGTGTCAACTATTTTATTCACAAATATCACATTCACGCCTTCTCTTTTTTGTTTGAAGTTTACTATGACCAACTTAAATTGCCTTATGTGTTTCATTGAGGAGTAAGTGCTAGAGGTTAATACTCCCATGAAGGTGCCATATGTTTCGTTGTGATCTCTTCAAGTAGAAATTCCTCGCTTGAAGTCATATCTCATTGATGAATACTGGGAATATGGTGGATTGTTTCACCCATCATTGTATGAGCTGGCTCGATTTGAAAGTTATATGCAGGTAATGTCGCTTATGAAACTAGATCTTGCAAGAATTACTGTGGGATCAAAATTCACTAAAATTTAAATTCCAAAATCTATCCTTTCAGCTAACTGATAACCATAACATTTGTTAGCACTGATGAGAGAAACAAAAGTCACCAGTGTAATTCTGCTTGTTCTCCAGTTCTTTGTACCTTGCCTTTCAGAACCATTTCCTGTATATGCTTTTGCTAGAACATGCTGGGTTGGCCACTAGCGTTATTGATGAGAAATGGGTTCTTATATCGCATGATGACCTTGAGTATTGACTGCTATGCTTCTGTCATCTAGCTGTCTATTGCATTGCTTTCCTGATCCTTTTCTCGTGCTTATGTAATTGGTCATATCATATTTGATTTAGAACTGAAGTTTTGTTTCTCAGCTTTACAACCATCTGGTGGTGTGTGGCCACTGGCTTATTGGGCTATGCCAATCACTGGAATATAATCAAGCAGGAGCTCTGATTAACAGAAGTTTTTGAATTGTTCCCAAATTGAAGGATTCACCTAAAGGGAGTTATGGATCGGAAGAATCAAACTCCTCAAGGTGGTTATGATTAGTTTTCTTGTCTGTTTCTTGGAAATTAAGCTGGGGTTGCTGTTTTAATAGTTACTTACTAGTCTCTCTGCTAAAACTAAACAGGTCAAATAGCACAGGTGGTCGTGGAATTTCTTGAGGTAGCAGTCAGCTGCATCGTCTTCCTCAAAGGCTTCTATCCTCCTCGTAAGAGTCCTCTTCGTTTAAGTTGGTTCAGTAACTCTGAGCTTGGCAGCTTGCAATGATTTTGTTAGATTAAACAAATGTATATGTAGGTGCCTTTGAGAGGAGAAGGTACATGAATGTAGTGGTCCAGAAAGCACTGCATCCTGAACTTGCTAGCTATATTCACTCCGTGACTATTGGCCTTCTCCCTTTCATTCAGAAGGTTTGCTTTAACCCCCTGTTTTAACTGGTCCTGCTGCAGTTATGTGTGTTAACTGTTAAGTATATGAAGGCCCATCTAATATAGGCCCACCACTAATGGAATTGTTAGACTCTCAAATCCCAAGGTTATGTGCACCAATGTTTTAAATAGCTGATAGCAGGTAGCTGACAGTGGGAATTTGTTTGCTTGGTGTTTTCAAAGTAGGTAGTTGATACACAATCTGTTTTGAAGCAAAATGACTTATCTTAGGATTACTTGTTTTGTCTCCTTTTTTTTTTTACTGATTGTTCATGCTTCGCTTGTTTTCTTATTTATTTTTGAAGGCCACATGCTTCACTTATATGAAGCTTTCAGTTGTCGATAATCCCTTGATGTTCTGATAAGTACTATATTGTAGAAGTATTGTAGAAACTTCATAGCTAGCAGTAACCTTGACTTTTGTATTTACAATCCAGGGATTGGTAGAGAGGGTTGTGGTCGTCTTCTATGACAAAGGGCATGTACCAATTGAGAAGTTTGTCTTCAAGCTTGCAGTCAACCAATCATATTGTTCCAAGTTAGAGGAGGCAAACCTGGAGTTTGCTCTGCGAGCATTCTTGATCAAGCTGACTGTTGCTGAGCCTGTTACCAAACCCCTTCCATCAGGTTCTAAATTTCATCTCGTAATTGTTTAAGTTATTTTTTACTATCTTAAGGTTTTCTGTATAAGGCTAGAATACATATCTGTAAAAGATCTCAAGGAGTAACATGCTTGTGTGTTGAATTCTGATAGATGGTAGCTGGGAGATCACTGCCTACTTCCGGTCCCTCCCTGCCGATGGCGACCGAGAAGCTCAGCTGTGGATTCCTACAGACACCAAGCTGTGGATGCAGCCTCCGCAGATTACCCCCATCAAGTCAGTTAGCTGCGATCCTCTGAAGATGCAGCTTTACGTGGAGCATCCTAGCCCCACGGAACCGAAGGATCCACCAGCATGACAGGAATGAGGAACCTGTGCCTATGCTACACTGCTGTGTGCATTCATTGTGAGTTCAAGTCACCATTGGGGTTAGAGAAATGGACAAAAATTGTGTCCGTTGATTTGGAGATGGGTGTGTGACTGATTGCCCTAGGCTAATCCAAGCACGAAGAGCAAATGAGCAGCCTTTTCCATGTCGAGGACTGACCCTGGCTGTCATCCTGCGCCCTGATGTATTGGAAGTCGCCTGCGCCGTGCGCCCTGATTTCTGTTTCTGAGATGGTGTTTACATCAGCTTCATGCTACTTTAGGCTAGTTCTTTGCCGTTAAGCTAATTTTGCCTAACTTTGAGCTAACTAGTAATTATATAGCCCTTGTATCCAAACAGCTCCTAAGTCTAAGACAACTCTAGCATAGCTCTAAAATCAGTATCTTTACTTTTATTTGGGGATCTTACTATTTTTCGAGTGTTTTAAGGCTCAACTCTAACAGGATCCCCAAAGCAAGGTACTTACTTTATGTGGTACCCATTTGTTGGTCACATTTTTTTCTCCCTTCTTTCATTTCCTCCACCCATAGCAACCGGCATTACTACGCCCACCACCACCATCAACACCACAACCATCGGCACTAGAGCTTGAGCTATTGGGGAAAGCGAGAGCTTGCAATGATGTTCGCCTAGGGAGGGTGAACTCACAGAGAGGTCCGAAGCTCGAGCGGCGGGGGAGGGTGACCTCATAGGCGAGGAGAGAGAGGATAGGGGCTCAGTGAAAATCAAAGGTCTGGGGCTGAGGGCAAGCTCGCATGGAGGGCCGACCAAGAAGGGTGGTCGGCCGAAAAGGGCGAGCTCCCGAGCGGATGGACGGCCAAGGTGTGCTTGCGTGTAGGGACGAATGTCAGGGAGGTCGTGCACACAAGGACTATCGGCAGGGCGTGCCCACGGGGAGGACAGAGCTCGAACGACTGGCATTGAAGAAGATGACTGGGAGTCTGGGACTACGGTTCCGTCTACCTTCAGTCCGCTAAGAAAAGTGGGGGGAAAAGAATGATGAAGGTGAAAAGTGGGGGGAGAAGAATGATGAAGGTATCGGGCCTAATTCTAGCTTGTGGGCCCATGAATGAGGGCACCAAGGAGAAATCTGAGTCTGGTGCTTTGGGTGTATGGATAGAGAGTGTGTGTTGTCTTTTTTTACCTAAAAACATGATATAGACCCAACTAGATCCTATTGGAATTGCTCTAAGTTGTGCTTCTATTGTTTTATCACCTAGGCTAAAACTAAGCCAATTCCATGGATGGTTTATTTAGTATAAAAAAAGCGTGGATGCTGATTTTATAGTCCCTAGAAAAATGCATGTTGGACAATGTGGTTGGTACAGGCGAGTGTTGACATGAGATTTTTCTTTCCTGTTCATTGGTTGGTCTTTGGTCTTTGGTTTGGGCTTTGGTGATCTTTGGTTTTTTTTGAAAAAACACATTTGTTTCTTGGCCAGTTTAGGTTAATTTGAAACCAATAAGCGAACAGGCTTGACGGAGAAGCGATGTAGTAGTACTACTACTAATAGTACTGGGAAAGTAGTCAGGCTCGCAAGTGGCTGTCTCAGGCTCTCTCAGCAAAGCGAGCACCCGAAGCGGAATCCGAGGAGTGCGTTGCGTCCGTTGGCCACCAGACTGATCAAACTGCTTCAGTCCTGGACAAGCGTCCCGTTGCCTTGACTGACTAAAGATACTGTTGATTAATTTACCGTAAAAGTAAAATACTGTTTATTCGCTGAAGAAATACAGATTATAAGCCAGACGAACGGGCCGAGGAACAAGATAGCAGAGGAATGTCGTGCGTGCTCCTGCCTCTTGGTGCGCCTGCGACGACGCAGGCCGTGACATGTGCAACCGTGCAAGGATTCAGGGTCAGGGAAGCCGTTAGTTTCTGCAGTCGGTACCACACGCAAGGTTTTTTTTTTAGCATCGTACCACACGCAAGGTTTTTTTTTTAGCATCGTACCACACGCAAGGTTTTTTTTTTAGCATCTGCTTTTTCTTTTCATGATGAGTTGGAATTAGTTAGGACAATTATCCTAATCTATAGCCCGTTGGGTTGGCTGGTTCGTTTCGTTGCTGGGTCACGAAGAAGTACTGCTAGCTGGTTTGTGTGAACAAAAAATATTGTTCCGGCTGGAAATTTACGATCGTTTACGACAAGCCACAGCCAAACAAACATACTGTTAAACTGCAAACGAAAAAGTATACCATAATGTCTGTTTTTATATTAAAAAAAACACTACCACGAAAAAAGACCACTCCCATAATCGTGGTGTTCGCTGGTCCGGAGGAAACCAGCCAGCCGGCTAGTTCCCCTCACGCGGCACTGTTCATCCATTCAGCCGAACAGTGTTTTTCTCTCACAACAAATTAGCCGGAACAGTATTTTTCAGTCAAGTTTCAGACCAGCGAACGGGGCCAATATTATCTAGGTAGAAACCTTAAATTCTTTGGTTTCGAAAAATGTCATGGAGACGATGTGTGATACTGTGTGTTTTTTTAAGGTAGCGTTGTGGTACATGCCCGAACAAGAAGCATCACTAGGGGTGAAAGTGGTATGAAAAATCCTCCGCTCCGAATCCAAATTGTAAGGATACAAAGAAGTGTTTTTAATATCCGTGCGGATGCGGATAATCCGAATCTGATTATATGCGGATGCGCTGTAGAATATGGGATTGATAGAATCCGACGGATATGGATTATCCGATAATTGAACACGGATTATCCGACGTTTATAATAGGATAATCCGAATATTTTAAGAAGCCCAAGCTGCAAGAATATAAGTCATCACAGCCCATGACACAAGCATTATTATATGTAGCCCACAAACAAAGGTAGTCAACTATATATACTAATTTAAGTATGTTTACACATGACATGGAACGGTAATTCTAGTGATTGCCTATTTGCCGCTTTATGACTTTGGTTAATGAATTGTCTCTCTTCATAAAAAAAATAACACGTAAGCATATATTATCCGACTTTAAAAAGACTGCTTCCGCTCCGACACTGGTCCGAATCCGTATCATTTTCGACATCCTAAAAAATTCGTATTCGCTTCCGAATCCGTATATATCTGAACCGTTCTGAATCCGATCAAAAAAAAAGTGGATTAGGATATGAGGAAGCCATTATCCACTCCGATCCGATCCGTTTTCATCTCTAAGCGTCACTATGGGTATTTTCAAGCAGTGCACACATCTATATGTGCATGCGAGGTGGAGAGTAGAACTATAGACCTAGGTCTTTACACAACGGCTCAACATTCGTCATGAACTTTGCATTTTGCATTGGGGTCTTGTTCAACACACTCCAAGGCAGTTGTGGAATTTTGTGAGGTTGACGTGCCTCTTCCCCCACCCCAACAAAACTCCACTATGATACACCTCAGTACCCACCATGCAAATTTCCCTATCTTTTGCCCCTTTAGCAACCTAGTTAGATTCGTTGACCCCTGCTAGGTTTTGCAAAGTGGACATTTTAGCCCCCTCTTAACTATTTTTTAGTCTGAGCTCTGCCGCCGCTCAAAGGCCTAGAGTATTGTCGGTGTTTCGAGTTGCAACCAACAAGTAAATTTCTAATATTGCGCGTCTGGCTCGGATGGTGTGCTAAGAGGACATGAGGTTTATACTGGTTCGGGCAGAATGTCCCTACGTCCAGTTCGTTGCTGCTGCTCGTGTTACTAGCACTGAAAGTTCATAGTAGGGGTTCAAAAGGTCGATAGAGGGACAAGTCCCAAGTCTCTGGCGGAAGGAATGAATGGGTGCCGAGAGCTCGATCGCTGCTTGGCTGCGTATTCGGGGTTTGATGGATCGATCGGATTCGAGTCCGATGGTTCAATGCAATGTGTTGCGATCGTTTATTCGATGCCCCCTAATGGGACGCCCTGCTTTCCGTTTTATAGGCCAAGGGAAATCATGGGTTACAGCGGAGGGAAAAAGGAGAATCAGAAGAGAAGAAGTCCTCCAGAATCGTCGGGTCCTTCTTCTCTTCTATTGCGGTTCCTATCGACCCTGTAGACGTCAACAGGGACAGCTTCACATCGTGGCCCTGTCCGTCACTGGCGCCATGCGCAGGCGTCATCTCCCGATCGTGGCGCTCCACTACGTCCTGGCGGACGTCATGGCGAACTGACGCGCATGTCAGTGTTCGTATGAGGGTTAGGCAGAACAACATCGGTTCGCCCGACGCTGTTCCTGATGTGAATCCTCAGGTATGGCCTATCATGGCCACGGGTTATATCGGGACGTGCCAGTCACCTCCCTGGTGTCAGAGCTTTGACCCAGACCCATACGCTTGGACCTAGAGTGGTCGGCGACGGTATGGGTCTCCGTTGAGCGAGACAGAGCCCCCGACCTCGGGGTCGGGCGAGGTGGAGTTCCTCCCAGAGGTTGGGCGAGGCAGAGTGCAAACCCAAAGCTCAGGCGAGGTGGAGCCTAAACCCAAGGGTCGGGCGAGGCGGAGCCCACCCTCAGGGGTCGGGCGAGGCAGAGCTCGTGGCCTCAGTGTCGGGCAAGGCGGAGCCAACCCTCAGGGGTCGGGCGAGGCAGAGCCCTACCTACCTCGGTGTCGGGCGAGGCAGAGCCACCCTTAGGGGTCGAGCGAGATGGAGCCTGCGGCCTCGGTGTCAGGCGAGGTGGAGCCCAAACCCAAGGGTCGGGCAAGGCGGAGCCAGCCCTTAGAGGTCGGGCGAGGTGGAGCCCATGGCCTCGATGTTGGGCGAGGCGGAGCCTGTCCTCAGGGGTCGAGTGAGGCAGAACCTGCGGCCTTGGTGTCGGGCAAGGCGGAGCCACCCTCGGGGGTCAGGCGAGATGGAGCCCGTGGCCTCGGTGTCGGGCGAGGTGGAGCCACCCTCAAGGGTCAGGCGAGGCAGAGCCCTATGGCCTCGTTGTCGTACGAGGCAAAGCCCGTGGCCTCGGTGTTGGGCGAGGCGGAGCCAACCCTCAGGGGTCGGACGAGGCAGAGCCCGCGGCCTCGGTGT